TTTGTTAGGACAGACAGTCCTAACAAAGGGTTAAAAGGGTCTAGTTTAGAAGTGATAATGAAATCTGCCAGCACAGTACAGACCGGCAGGGCCGGATTAAGAGCATCACGGGCCTGGTGCTGAGGATTTTGGTGGGCCTTTTTATGGAAATGGCGATGGTCACCGGGGACCTCTTCCTCCTGTCTGGGCTGTGGTTTGTAGTCTCTCTACAGCTTGGAGTCAGTGTTGGAGCGCCAGGGCCCGGTTGCAGCTGCAACCCTGGTAGATCTGCCACTAACTCCAAGCTGTAGAGAGACTAGAAATCTTAGCAATACATTATACAGCAATGCAGAATACCACCAATTATAGAGGGCTACAAATCCCAGTTATGCACTACAGAGCAATGCAGAATAACACCAGCTATAGAGGACTACAAATCCCAGCAATACATTGTAAAGCATTGCAGAATAACACCATCAGCTATAGAGGTCTACAAATCCCAGCAATACTTTATACAGCAATGCAGAATAATATGAAGCTACATACTCTGTGTTGCTCCGGGTTTGCGGCCTGATGTCTCTAGGGTCTCTGGGTCTGAGCTGAGCGGGTTTAGGTGCAGATGTGCAGGCTCTCAGGAGGCTGTTTAGGTTCTTAGGTTGCCAGTGCGGCTCTATGAGGGCCAGTGCAGGCTCTCAGGCGATCATTGAGGGCTCCAGGCGGTCAGTGCGGGCTCTCAGGCCGTCAGTGCAGGCTTTCAGGCGGTCAGTGTGGGCTCTCAGGCGGTCAGTGTGGGCTCTCAGGCAGTCAGTGAGGGATCCAGGTGTTCAGTGAGGGATCCAGGTGATCAGTGAGAGATCCAGGTGGTCAGTGAGAGATCCAGGTGGTCAGTTTGGGCTCCAGTCGGTCAGTTTGGGCTCCAGGTGGTCAGTGTGGGCTCTCAGGCAGTCAGTGTGGGCTCCAGGCAGTCAGTGAGGGATCCAGGTGGTCAGTGAGGGCTCCAGGTGGTCAATATGGGCTCCAGGCATTCAGTGTGGGCTCCAGGCACTCAGTACAGGCTCTCAGGTGGTCAGTGCGGGCTCCAGGTGGCCAGTGTGGGCTAGAGGAGGTCAGTGCGGGCTCTCAGGCAGTCAGTGTGGGGTGAGCTCGGCCCAGCCGGAATCCAGGTCAGCTCAGCCCGGGACGGCTGGCAGGCATGATCCGGGACAGCTCGGCCTGGCTGCGACTCTGTGTCGGCTCGGTTTGGCCAGGCCTATTTGCAGGGACGGGCCTGGTGCGGGAGCTCCACCCGCCCCGGTATTAATCTGGTCCTGCAGACATTATTTGATAATTATTTGAAACCAAACTCCCCCTAAACCCTGAGACAATGCGAACTAAGCAGGATTTGTCAGCCCTGGAATTAGCAGAAAGAGCAGATGTTAGCAGAAAGAGCAGATGTTATCCCAATTTGGCTGCAAAAGTGGAAATACACTTTTAGCACTATTTTATGGAATCCAGCAGATGGAGCTCAGAGATGAGGAAATTCACATGCTATGCTGGTACGATAGAATGTTATATAATAATAAAAGACATAGATTTCGCTGCACCTGTTCAGTGCTTTTGTGCAGTGATGGCAACAAGAAAAGCAAGAAATGGGATGAAGTTAAGGTTTTGAATGTGATTAAAAGCATTTTATTGTCATTTCATTTTCTGTGCCTTGTGTGTACTTATTTCACTCCATCTTCACATGTCCTTAATCTCTTCAGGGAAGCCTATCCCACCTCAACCTAACCACTGAACTATCACTTTCTCAAACAATTTATCCCCACACAGCTACCTCCTCGTGTATCACTTGCCCCTCCTTTTCAGATTGTAAGCCCTCACGGGGCAGGGCTATCCTTACCATCTTGTCTTGATTGTATTGTGATTGTAATGTCTTCCTCATATTGTAAAGCGCTGCACAAATTGTTGGCGCTATATAAATCCTGTATAATAATAATAATAATATGATGAGTTGTGAACAGGGCCTAAAAAGAGTTGGGTAAAGTTGGGGGAGGGGCATTACAAACATATCCTGTATAGGCAAGGTGACAGTCCTAAGTGTGTGGTAGACATAACAGCCTTTGCCCACTGTCCCTACAGTTGCCACTTTTTGATTCCCTGAAAAACCGAATGGGGTGGGACTGGCTTTGTCCACTTTTATCCTCCTGTGTTCCAGCAAACAATATACTATGTTAAAGAAAAAGTTTGTAGAACTAGTCAGTGCTTTTTAATCTAACATGACACATACAGAGATGATGTATTCCACAAAAAAAAACAATAAACACACTGAATAAGGTATAAAAAAGAATTCAAAGTTGGTATTGCCACATACAAACAATAAAAATTATTTACAAAATACCAATTAAGAAGCAGTATATACAGCATCAGCCTGACCCATCTTCCTGAACAAACAACACGATGAACTGGCAGAAGAGGATCCAACACAAATGTACCAAAATGTAGATAAAATAAAGGAATAAAAAGAAGACATATTAATGTTCTATAGACATGAAAAACATGGACATAAATTGCACTTGCTTTAAGGCCTTTGCCATTGTCAAATACTGCTCCATGTTTGTAGGAGATGAGAGACTTGTACTTCATTATGTTGGGTTCACGTATGGAGTTATGCACACAGCCAAATGTTAGCTTGCCTCTATGTACTCCTAAAGAAGAGAGATCTATACAACCTACAGTTAGTTCAAATCACAGCAGACAGGATAATGCCATTTCTCTGTTTTCCCTATTGACTGAAAAACCTGTTCATGGCCAGGCTACTTCGAAAACCTATATAGTCTTTATTTATATCTGTACATGGAGGCAGAAATATCCACTCATTACATTTGCAAGCTCTGCCTCTTGTTGGGTATTGCTGCAAGGTGATTGCACCTCTTTGTTCCTGTTTGACAATGCGACTCTACCAGACTGAGGACTGGTTGAAACTTGCTCATGTATCGTTTCTTCACCTAACTGCTGAGTCACTGACCAGAAACAAGGATGTGCGTGTCAGATGTTGGGACTGCTACAAGTGAACGCTCTGTCTAGACTCTAGAGCATCACAAACCCTCTCCCAGGCATCATCGCAATAAGACAGCATGGTTCCCACCCAATGGCTATTTAGCTATCAACATGTACTATGATAACAGGAAGACACTACAGGGATATAGTATGATCATTTCAACATCTATAGCCTAACTTAAATGTAAGGCAAGGTCTGCTTATAATGTTCAGGCCCGATTCCCCTAAACAAATTGGTGGTTCATAGCTTGCAAATATGTATCCGTAAAAAAAAATAAACTTACAGGGTTATTCACAAAAGGGTGAAGAGATTGGAGAAGGCAGAAAAAGTGAACAATCTAGGACAACATAGCTGAACTGGGAAGTAGGGATGCACTGATACCGTTTTTTTCCAGTATCGAGTACGAGTACTGATATTTTTTCCCCGTTACTCATCGATGCCTAATACCGATAACAGAAGTCCCATTAAGGAAGCCAGGCGTGTAATGACTCGCCACGTGGCTTCCTGATTAGCAGGGAAGCCTTCTCGTGAGGAGGGAGCATGGAGCCAGCTTCCCGGCCAATCAGGAAGCCGGGCAGCATGTAATGATTCGTTGCCCGGCTTCCAGATACCGGAAGCTCTAGTATCGGGCTAGGCATTGGAGCATTTGGGCGACTACGAGTACTCGCCTAAATACTCGGCACCGATACCGATACTAGTATCGGTGCATCCCAAATGGAAAATGAGCTGAATTGGAGAATGTTTCCAGTTCAACTATATTGTCCTAGATTGTTCACTTCTCCTGTCTTCTCCAAACTCTTCACCCTTTAGTGAATAACCCTGTCAGTGATCAGTACTGATCGCTGAGTGTTTGTAAATATCTGAGGACATAGTAAGCTTACTATGTGCCCAGTTTTGTATGAACAGGTAATGCTATACATCACTTACTGTTCATTTATGAATGGGGACTTTATGAGTGAACAGGAAGCATCTCAGTGCAGAGGCTTCCTGTCCATTCATGACTGGATTGATAGTAAATATTTACTATCTCCAGATTGTAAATAAACAGGAAGCCTCTGCACTGAGAGCTTTCTGTGCCTTCAGTGCTGGGGCTGTAGAAAAAGAGATTGTGGACTCTGTTTCCTAAATTTATTTTTCTATTTTAAAAGGGAAATATCAGGGGTCTATTGGCCCATCCCCAATAAAGTAAAATAAATAAATAAAATAACCCAAAAATCATTGTAAGAAGGTTGTAAATAACCCAGTTAGACTTTATACGTACTTGACCTCCATCTTCTGCCCACTGTGCCCAGATCAGGGTGACAGGATCTTCTGACAAGAACCTGAATAAAGACCAGCCCAAATCTCGCAAGAAGACATTCTTGTACTGGACAGGAGTATATTCTTGTGAGACCTGGGTTACTCATTGTTCCGCAGGAATCTCCCCCTATGGAGTCATGTGACTCGGACGATACAAAAGTAA